CATAATGCTGCTGATGTCATTTATACTATATGGCATGTCACATTCATTTCTCATTACAGATATATACTGGTAAAGTTGGTGAAATTTACAAAATAAGAGTTGGATACGATGATGATACTAAATGGGATGGCTGGCATTTATCACAAGTTAGAATGCGAGACAGAGTAACACATGAATATTTACAGTTTGACTGCAATCGATGGATGTCGAGAACTGATGACGATTTAGATATAGTGAGAGAATTACCAGCTGAGAGACCAGGAAAAGATACACTGCCCGGTATGCCTCTATTGATGATTTATATTTAGTAAGAAAAATACGGACTTAGAGACAAAAAAAGACCTGCTAAATAATGTTTCTAATAATATTTCAGATATAGTGAGAGAATAGACTGAGAGTTCATGAGAAGACACTGCCCTATATGTTTCTAATAATATTTCAGATATAGTGAGAGAATAGACTGAGAGTTCATGAGAAGACACTGCCCTATATGTTTCTAATAATAATTCAGATATAGTGAGAGAATAGACTGAGAGTTCATGAGAAGACACTGCCCTATATGTTTCTAATAATAATTTCATGGCAAAAATACACCACTCTGTAGAATGTCTCAAATAAATAATAATTACATAATTAACTACCAAATTATTTCTGATTTCGGGCTTATAAAATTTCATGAATCACAGAATTGTGTTGCTTTTTACTGTTTCTTTTCTGCAACCAACTGACTGACTGGGCTTTAATTGATGAAAATGAAAACTGTTGAACTAATACTACATGGTGCTATTTTCTATGACATACATAGTTTGAAGTTAGTGTTATTGTAAAGAAATGTAATGGAGAACTGAATCGATTCTGTATCCGCCTTGTCCTCTTGACCATGAGTTGACCTACTTTAGTGTCCTTTGACCTGATAGTTAATAATGCCATTAACAATCACAATGCTGCACGGGGCTATCAACAGTTTTTGAATATTTGCAGTCACATAATGCATTGTGTCAAATTTATTATTTATTTGTTGCAAAATGTTCCATTGGTGCTGATTTTCATACACAATGGTTTTTTAGCTCCGCTGTCGACTTTGTCGAGCGGAGCTTATCATATGAGTGATTGTCCGTCGTCGTCGTCGTCCGTGTCAATGTTTTACTTTTTAGCTCCGCTGTCGACTTTGTCGAGCGGAGCTTATCATATGAGTGATTGTCCGTCGTCGTCGTCCGTCGTCCGTGTCAATGTTTTACTTTTTCGACTTCTTCTTGAAAACTACAAGCCTGAATGCTTTGATACTTGGTGTATATGTACCTTGGGTAGACCTCTCTCAGATTTGTTCATTTCATGATGATATCTTCAATTCTCTAATTTTGGTGAATATTTTTTTCATTTTTAGTAAAAAGTGATATTTTCGACTTCTTGTTGAAAACCGCAAGTGCA